CAGACTCTATAGTTCTAAAATATATATCGAGAAAACTTGAAATTCGCTATTTGTCAAATATTTTCGAAATATAAAAACAACCCACAATATTCTGTATGTATAGGAATGAAATGAAGGTATTTAGTTTCCGTTGTCTCCAATAATGCCAACAAAATACTTTTTTACTTCCCGAGCGAAGGTAAGTAAGCATGCTTTTTTAATTTTTCAGGACCCCTAGAATACGGAAAATAGGACCCTCGTTTCCATCGTCGCCTGCCATCTGTTCGCATCTGTGTCGATTTTTATTAGTGAGATAATTTCCTAAACTACTGAGCTAACTGTTGTCAAATTTTATATGTAAGTATACTACGAATGGTAAAATCTTAACCAAAATTTGTCTGATTATCCCCACCCCCCATGATATGACGTCATTTCAATTTTTAAATTTATATAAAATAACACACTCCTTAATTTGTAGTTTATAAATCCGTTTCGAGTTTTTACACTACGCATCCAGATTTTTAGAAAAATTAAAAAAAATCAAAATTGTATGACAACATTGTTCTCCTAAGGATAGTAAACTCAACTCAAAATTTTACCAAATAAGTCTAAAATACGCACAGTATTAAATGTCTATCGATACGGTTTATCAATTCATTCATATTCTTTAGAAATACTTATACAGAGTGACTCCAAAAAATTACTGAATTTAATTTCCTATCCCATTTTGCCGCAAATTTCAGGATGCAATACTGTTATTAATAGTATTACACTGCACCTATTCAAACTGCTTCTACCCTGTACCTTAACAACCCACACATATGTTATTTTTAACTCATAGGGATCTTAAAAAACTCAATTCTCAAAGTTAAATTTAATAATTTTTCGAAGCTGTATTCGTTCCATTGTATTTTAAGAGCGAGGAAAGTTCTTAGTTTTTTTGCACTATATATTATATCTTCCAGCACACAGCAACAAATTAATTTCATTACGAAATGCAGCGAAAGCGAAATTTTCGCTAAGTTGGCTTCAATATCAAGAGATCTCGTAAGTCGAGCACAATGGACCGGGATTTTAAACAAGCTCAGGAAATGAATCCAGCCGATAGCATCATTATCACCGTGAAGATGACGTTGCAGCGAAGCAGGATAACGACTGGTAGATGAAGGGCACAAGAAGACAGTTGCACCTGGTTCAAGTTCATCACAAGCGAATAAACGAAGCCAATCGTTATGCAGGCACGTCGACTGAAGGGTTGTTGAAACTTTTCATTTCGAGAGCTTTTTCATGAAATTCGTTATTTTTAATGGACCGAAACTGGCCGCAACACCGACTCGCTTTGTCGGAATTCTGCAGAGCGAAATAGCTTTTGTGCAAATTAAGAAAGCACTAGTGGCACAATAGTTTTGGTCATTTGTAATACTTCATTGCAGTTGGTTGATTGTGTGCGGTTGCAGCACGTGTGACCGATTACTCGCAAAAGTACTAAATAAAATATTTACAGCAGCAGTAGTAACGTAGCTCTGTTCTACTTTCGATTATTTATTTGAAGATTCCAACCCTACGATCCGGCAATGTCCAAACGTCGAATTAATCTCCACGTTTTGCATACGGCACTTTGATCTTCCCAGCCACCTCACAAACCCTTGTAAGACGCTGCTGAATAGGCTCCAGCCCTAATAAAGTTTTTATTGCGGTTAATACGGGCTTTTCACTAACCCACATTTCTAAATTAATTTATATTGATAAAGGAGCGACTTTGCTTGAGAGCTTTTCGCAACACGCGTCTAGAAAGGACATTAATGTTCATGAGTGAGATTAATTTAATTGCGAAAGTCCAATTTTTTTGGCTCGTGCCGTAGAGGAGCTTTCAGCAAGGCTCGGGATGACATGTCACGTGCAGTTTTGCCTAATATCTCATAATTACAAACCTCGTAATTGCAAGGAACACGTAATAGAGATAATTAGGAGTGGGCTTAAATGAATCCGGAGGAAAACTAAATTTTAATGAACAGCGACTACTGGTGTGGCCTTCGTGACCTCTCAACTGTAATTATATAAATATGGGCAGCAGGTTCGCTGCAATGCTGTCAGGACGAGAATTCGCTGCAGCAGGACTTATCGTGCGCGTTCTACTTTTAAAGAATAGTGTAAATTATCGTTAGTTTCAGACGTTCTTTATTTTGTGAAAACATGTTGGTGTCCAAAAGACATAATTAACGGCGATTTTGGAAATAAACACCTCACGTATGTTGAATTATTTATTTTTATCTCGTTATAAATGCATTTTAATTAAGCTTTTTAATTGTTCAATTAGCGAGGTCTCTGTAAAGCGAAATGACAACGTGCTAGTATCTAAAAGAGTTTAATCAAATTACATCAAAACGGTTCCGCTGCACGCTACAGTTTTTTTTTTTTGTGAATTCATTGCAGTTTCGTAGTTTTTCAATATGGTTTTCACAAAATAAACACAATAACCAAATATAAGAGAATATTATTACACTAGTTTAATAAGACGTTCTATTCTAGCACAAGTTGCTTGGGGCACGACGAGCGCAGAGAGCGAACTTCAAACGAATGTAATATACAATTTTTTCGACTCTACCCATGATTTCATGAAGCAAAATAAAAAATCTGGTTAGGATTATTTTTTGAGTTTTTGTTTAACGTGTTCTATGCAGACAGCAACAATGTTAAATGGCGAACTGTGAACGAAATTATGGTTTTGACTGGTTGCACTTGACGTGTATGTGACGTTCTAGAAAACGTGGGACCGACATTACAAAACAAACTGTTACCAAAAACAATTTCACAAAGGCTTCCATTGTTAAATTGTTTTCGATTTAATAATGAGGCCATTGTTTATGCAAAGTAGAAAAATATAATTTCAGTATAGCCAAAAAGCAAACATATTTTTCTACTATGTATTATTTTAATACTTCACTTATTTACTTTTACTAACAGCACTTTTCATTTACAGTTTACTTAATAATTCTTTTTTTAGGGAACAAATGAATAAAATCATAAGTTGAAATAAAAATATGTATTGACTCATTAATTAACTTTTTTTAATTTTAATTATTTCAAAAAAATATTAATTTAATGATAAATCACATCACATTTTGCACATTTTCTTTGAGATTTATTCCGCAAAATTTTGAGATGACGTCATCAATTTTTGGGAGGAGATAAACAGATACATTTTGATACAAATTTACCATGCTTACGATAACTTTAAAAAGCCTGCAAGATTTCAAAGCATTCGGTTTTGCAATTTCTGATCTGATAAATAAAATTAATTGATATAGGTTTTTAGGTCTTACTCGATGTGGAACGTTGATCAAAAGAAGATTAGGGATAGCAAGATATGTCCAAACTCCACAGATATAGTTCAAATGATATAATATAAATTAGGGGATATCTTTCGAAGAGTAGCTGTCTTCATCTTCAGCCTATGTAGAAAAAAATCATAGGAAGAAATTAGATGTTAGAAAATTAACAAATAGCACCTCATTTTTTTTGCAGTAAATTTGTACGTATGTTTCACATGTAGTGTGGGTGACATTTTATACTACTAGGATAAAGTAGTCGGTAAGGTCGGGATCTATATTATTGTGGGGGAGTTAACTACATTTATGTTTATGTTAGAGAAGAGTTTGTGATGAAGTAGGTACAAAATTCGAGAAGAAAAGAGATTTTATGGTTCGCATGAGTATGGAAGAAAGAAAAAGGCGATTTGATGACAATAATTGAGGTTATGTTAACAGCGTTGGAAGTATAGAATCTGTGATAGGGATATCAAATTGTATTTTGTCATTTAAACAAATCTTGCTGGGATTAAGTTTTAATTTTTGCATTTCAAGCGCTTGAAATACGTGAGAATGCTTAATTGTCTAACATCTAACTTCTTCCTTTGGTTTTTTCTACATAGGCTGAAGATGAAAACAGCTAGTCTTCGAAACATGTCCCCTAATTTATATTAAATCAATTGAACTATATCTGTGGAGTTTGGACATATTTTGCAATCTGTAGCCTTTTTTTTAATTAATTGACTCATTTATTATTTTCTTTGAGTAACCTGTAATTCTAAAATATGTAAATAGAATGATAAATCACAAGTACGGACTCAGATTTATGTGTTAAATGTTTGAGATGACGTCATCAGTTTTTAGAGGTGTCGGTCTTAACGGAGTAATGGATCTTGATTAACGATTTTCTTGTTTCCGATAACCTTAAAACATTTGCAAGGTTTCAGAACGTTCGAATTTCAAAATTAAATTGTAAATTTTGTTTTACAAAAACCTGGATGCTTGGGCAAAAACTCAACACGGATTCATAAACTATAAGTGGAGGAATATGTTATTTTACAAAATCTAAATAACCTTAACTGTTGTAAATTTTGGAGATGACGTAATTACACTGGTGGTGGGATGATCAGACAAATTTTGGTCAGTGTTTTCTCATCCACACGACATTCCTAATATACATACAAAATTTGACAACAATTAGTTCAGCAGTTTAAAAGATTATTTGTTTACCCAAACGCTGGAACAACAGGTCATGAGCTTTCGGCTAGGATTAAAGTTAAAGATCCCTCAGTCACTAACCCTTTGTCTTTTTCTGATCATATCCTTACCAACTTACATCATTTCGATCCCAGTAGAGCCAAACTTCTCCCTAATTATCACAAAAGCTCGAAATTCGATTACCTGGAAGCAACAGAATTTAAAAAACCAACTCAATTTCGATACTCCTATTATTCAAGCTGTCCTTTAGTCCTGACATTTAAACTAAAATATCGTAACATGACCTCACCTTCCCCCTTTCCCCCACTCTCCACCCATGCATAATACCAATACAAGAAACTATGGTACACCAAGAGTACCACAACATTATTAGTATTACTACTTGTACTTTCAATAACAGAACACGTTTTTATGTTTTTCTGTTAAAACTTTTAATTTAATTTCTTAAGGTTGCCTTAGATTTTAATTACTTCATTAATTGTTATTTTTTTTTAGTTTGCCTTTTGTCTTCTGATCCATGTATTTCAAATTTTGAGCACCATCAACTGGAACTAGGATGAACATTTCCGAAGCACAAGAAGCGTGCAGAAGTGATGATGTAGACATTATTCAACTATTTACTCCTGAATTTTATTTTTTGATTATATCGACTATGCTTATTAAATATGTACTGAAGTAATAATAATTGTTTACTTCAGTGCTTCGAATCGTACTTATTGGAATGGAAAATACAAAGTGTGAAATTATTGGCAATATTGTTACAGTTTTTGTCAGGTTTTCTAACCTTAAAATAAAACAACTTAACCTAATATGACAAATTCCATTTTTTATTAGGGATCTTTGCATATACGAAATTGGTTGCCAACCAAATTACTAGATTTACTTGGTCTACCAGATTCCCGTTTTGGGATGTTCGTGAAACTTCTGTCGAGTCTAAGTAGAATAAGTATTCCTCCTCAAACCATGTGGTGAGTGGTTTAAAAAAGCTTCAATAATAGTTATAATACGAGAGCAACTCATCTGCGGTAGGAGATATTTCCAAAACGAACTAAAATCTAGAAAGCTCGTCTCTTTAAATTTTTTGACGATTGTAAAAAGTCAAAATCAGCATATCCGTATAAATTTAAAACTAATAGCACTTGTTACAAAATGAAATTTACTGTGGCATTTTGCGGTTTATTGATGTTTATGATAGCATGCATAGCTCAAGACGACGAACCCACGGAAATTACTACTGAATCTGGCGCAGCTCTCGAGTGTGATTTTTGTTTTAAGGAGTGTGATGACCCTCCTAAAACTGTGACATGTAAAGAGTCAGAGGATGTGTGCAAAGTGCAAGAATCGTTGAAACCTAGGGGTACGTACAGTAATTGTATTATTGTGGCCATTAATAAATTCACAGTTTTTAGGAAAAGGAGGTGTGCGAATAGATAGAGGCTGCGCGAAGTCCGCTGGTTCGGAAAAGGAGTGTAAAAATACTACCGATGGTCGACAAAGGTGTGTGATATGTTTTACCAGCAAGTGCAATTCGGTGCGATTATACAATACAAGTGGTTCAGTACGAATGAATTCGTCGTATTGGGTTATGTGTTTTGTAGTTTTCTGGTATGGTTTAATAATAATATGAACATTAATTTCATTCGAATGGAGAGATTATTTATTTTTTCCTCGAATCGAGAAAAATTCTTCCCTATTCAATTTATGACGGACCTGTTCTGTTCTTGGTTAAAGTGTTCCACTCCTTTCTCGATTGTTTGTGAACTAACTACTTTTGTGACATTAATCCGTGTTCTGAAGTTCCACTGTTTATAAATATAGAGAATACTATAGTAGTATTACGTTTTAGGGAGATTAATAATAAAAATCAACACAGACAGACTAAGGTAATCAAAGCGTCATGAAACGTCGAGGAAACATGAAACTGGAAAGTCGCCTGATGGACTGGAATACTACATTTCCTTAGCTTATGCTCGGGAAGCAAAATATACCATAATTTTAGTGTCAAAATCATGAAATTAGGGTCACCAATTTTGGGAAAGGAACAGTAAAAAAATTTGGTTACTGTTTTATGTCACAACTTTAAAGCACAGTTAAAATTTTTTGACTGAGAAAAGAAGAGACTTACGTTCTCTTCCAAAGTTATATACGTAAAACTTGCCTCGCCTCTGAAGCACAACGCATCGTTTATTAATGCGTATATTTCGCAGACAATTGAAGATAAGATATTTTTTAAGATAACATCATCAACTTTAAGGGAACATCTAAACGTCCTTTGACAATTGCAGGATGTTCGGTAATTAATGTCATAAAATATCAAATTAAAAGCTTGCAATGAAAAGATAGATTAAATTACCTAAGATATTAAACTAATAATCTACACCTTAATAACAATTATATATAAAAATAAAGCAATTACTGCGTTGCTGGGGTCCGATATCATTCGATGGTCCGTGCCGAATCCCACATCGATGATCGAATTACCTTAAGTAAGCTCGTTATTAAACGAAAAAGCGTCGCTTAATTCTTAGTCGATCCGTCAAGTTTAATGCAATTTTTCAATTAAGGCCGTGTTTCGCGATTAGCACAATTGCCGAAAAAGTGGCGGAACTCTTAAGAGAAGGCGTTGCAAAAAGCGCCATAAATAAGCATTCATCTGAAGTAAATGTTAAAAGACATTTGGAAATGAGAAATTCGCTGGGGGAGAGTGGCAGATTTGAGTTGTAAGTTTAAGGAGAGGGGCCGGGGTACTCAGCAAATTGGAGCACTAAACGACAGGATGTTAAAGTAACGATCTAAGAAATGGAAGAGATCGCAACTTGATTCCACGGCGTCTCATTACTTGATTTAGGTAGAAGTAGCAGAAAAAAAGTTGTCAGGGCAGATATCGCGGCTTTGGCGGATGTAGATTACAGACAATGGCCAGGCGGAAGCTTCATTTTCAAATCTTGGCTCAATTACTACTATACTCTTAATAACGAAGGAATTTCTGAAACAAAGGCGGGCTTTCAAGGATTACGGCTCGTGGAGGTTTCTCTGTGAACTGAATTAGTTGCACGGCGCAACCACCGAGAGGGTTGTATTTAAATTAGCGACCAAGAAAGCGACTAAAGTGATAAACTGCTAAATTAATAGATTGTTCACTGTTTCCTGTCGTACATTCTCTTTACAGACAACGTTGTTTACTAACAAACCGACCGAGTTCTTGCTGCCGAAAAGCTCTACGTGGCTGACAACTGTTTCGGATTCGTTTTCGTTCGCTTCTTACTGTCGGAATGCTCACAAAATTGCTTTTTCATTCATTTGCTGTTATTAGTTGTGTCTCCATGATGTATTTAGAGCGCCTGACTGCGATCCTCCCAAATAAAACACGACTACTTTCAGAAAACTGCTGCTTCCAAATAATTCGCATCCATCGTGTTAAAGAAAAATACAAAGTTTAGTCTTATACTTTTTAACGAAACACCAAATAAATCAAAACACCAAAAAACTGCTGATATATTCTTCCATAAATGAATTTCCATCCCTCTGAGTTAATTTCAACGTGATAATTAAGTTAAACTGGCTGTCTGTTACATGAAATATTGACTGGTTCGTTATACAAAAATAACTGAAAAATCAACTTAATTGCTGAGAGCTAATAACCGCTACTTTCTGCCAACAATTTCGAGCACCACATTTCCTACTTAATATTTTCCTTGTTATATATATCTGCAAATTTTTGTACATAAATTTTATCTATCGACGAAAATGAATCAAAGCGATGCAATAAATTCAAATTATCTAATATTATAAGCTAGCTGGAAGTCACATTTCATTTGAAAGGGAAATAAATAATTCTCACGTTCAACATTTTACTGTGAATATATTTTACATTTTGCCATAAATATGCAGTTCAATGATCTCAAAATAAATTTTCGGCTGCCACGAATTTATTGACACTAACTCAGACAAATTACGTAACACACAAATGTTTAGTGTTTGTGCTGTAACAAAAACACCATTTGCTGACAGTCGTCGGAGTTCTTCCATTTTATGATGGAACACTTTTGGTGCAACTAATATTTTCTAGCAGCGGTGATTTTAAATTAGAGATTTTTCTTTTCGTTTCTGCGTAATGTAGCGTGTAATGTTCAATGATTTGTGCACAGCGAATTTAAATTGAGACAATTTTGTTATTCGATGTGGTGTCTGGTAGAAAAATCTAATTTCAACAGCAATGATGATTGCTATAAATTTATGGGTTTTTTAGAGTTTGCATTCCTGAATTTGATATTTAAATTAATACATCTGTTAATATTGTTGATGCATTTTTCAATTAAAAGTTTTTTTGGTGTCTCATATCCCGCAGAATAGCAAAACGTGTCTCTTGAAAGCTTATTAGATAATTATTTTCGAAAGTATCCCACCGAATGCGTTCAATTTTAAGACACAGAATCTTTATTATCGTGCTAAGTAAATTTCAATTGAACTGTACACCCTAAATAATCTATTTTTAAATAAGACACTCCTATTTTTAACTGTAGATATTTATGCGGGTTATCCTGACTATCGTTATGAACTTGCTACATATTTTATATACCAAAATTAATATCGCTCTGTCCACTACAAAGTTGACGACGAAATTCTCCCATTAAATAAATCCTTATTGAAAAACAGATCCCGAAACGGAATATTACTTTTGTCTATAATTTGATTTTTTTTTTTCAGAAGCGAGGGTAGTTCATTTATTATATATTTCATATTTTCTTGTTGCTATTACATATTTTTTCAACTCGTTGATGTTTCTTTTTTTAGATTTTGTCGTTGAAAAATGCATTTTTGTCCAGTCGTTTAATAATAATAATAATAATAATAATTTAATAGATCCAACGGCCAGAGGCCTTTACAGGAAAATATAGTACACATCAATTATTACAATACAAAAAACACTTACTAATCAATAGACGAAATTACTTAACACTAATGAATAATTGCAAAGTGAAATTATAACTGAGAGTAACTGAATAAGTTAACTAAAATATATACTTTAATACGCTTTTCATTATGTTATACTGACAAAGCAATAAAAAAGGCTATCAAAGACAACAATGGATTTATTTTAGACTATTTTCAACAGTTTCATTTTCAACTCAAACTTTCAAATTAGCGGTAATGTGACAAGACGAAAATTCTATCAAAGACAAATCTTCTGTCTTTGATGGTGGTTTTAGTAGTCTTTCAGTACCATATGTTTAAAAAAAATTCTAGCAGGCAATGAAATATATTTAAAAAAATATGGTGTTGCAATTGCAGCTCTTTTACACTTCATTTGATAGTTATTTCACTGTAATTGTGAACAAAGAAAAGATGCCCATATAATTTTTTTTAGTATCAAATTTCCAAGGTTTCTGACGACTTTTTGCTTCGATCATACGGGCTATTCCCTTATATTTGTTTTGTTTTATTGTTTTATTATTATGGATTCAAATAGAAAACATCAGACATTTTATTTTCCAAAGAGTAGTCCACCTACCATGCCGTGGCAACTACATTATATGACGTTACCAAAAATTAATCGAGTGTGATTGGTCAAACATCACACAAAACTTGTAAACACCCCAAATATTAAAATATTGACACTCTACAGGGTGCATCTAACTAATCATTAGCATACAATATGATTTCGTTCTTTTAAATGAAGTGCATACATACTTTTACAGTACTGTCTGCCCTTTTTTTCGAGACTTTACAGTCAAATCTTAGTTATTTTTGAAATTTGAAAATTAAAAAAAATTGAGATACGAATATTTGAAAATTTTAACATATTAACATCATTTTTAAAGACAATATACTAAGCCCCAATTTTACTGACATTTGAACAAAACTCATACCTTTCATTTATTTAACTTTGAGATATTGTAAAATAACCGATTGTATTTTTACTTCCCGATCCTAAGTGAGCGAAGTATTTAACAGGGTCCATTGGTTGACTGGCTACTTTCATATTTTCTCAACCTTTCATGGTCCCTACAGTACGAAAAAAAAGGTCTCCTGTTCCCTTCCGTCTGTCTGTCTGTCGTCTGTGTCAATTTTTATTAGGCAGATAATTTTCGAAACTACCGGATCGATTACTGTCAAACTTTGTGTGTATGTTAGGAATTTCGTGTATATGGTAAAATGCTAACCGCAATGTGTGTATAATCATCCCCACCAACACTGGGAAGACGTAATCTCCGAATTTTAATAGTACATACATGTAATATAAATTTCATAAAATAACGAACTGTATTTGTGGTTAATGAATACCTTTTGGGTTTTTACTCTAGACATCCAAATTTCAAAAAGAAAATCAAAATTTTGTAACAACATTTTACAACGTAACTTGAAATTGCAAAACCGAATATTCTGAAATTTTGAAAATTTTAGCCAAATAAATGTTAAATATGCAAAAAACATTATGAGCCTATGCTTGTGGTTTATATTTATTTTTAATTTATAGAGGCTACAAAATCGAATTTTATAATTTATCAAAACGCAGGATTCGTGGGTCAACTGGCGAGAGAAGATAAGACTTATTTTGGCAAATGACATACCTTCTAAGAAAAGAGAGGGTGGGTGGGTGGGGGTAGTAGCTGTTAAGATAAGACTGATTTTGGCATATGAGAC